CAAAAGGCGGCTCCGAGGCTCTCTAGTGCTGCGAGAGCACCAAATCGGCTGATTCGGCCTCATCCGGCCGCCAGTCGTTCTCAGCGATACTGGCGCCCCCCGGGGCCGCCGGTACGTCTAATTGTAGCCTATACCCGAACGCTGCGCGTGGTGGCTCGCGCGCGCGTCGGGTGATGGCGAGTCGCTCGTAGGAGTCCGTCGAAGACGGGTCCAGCTGCAAGACGCGGGAGGCGTGAATGCGACCGCTGTCGGGCCCGAGAGAGCAAACCAAGTGCATGGACGCCGCTCCCATATGCGCTCGACGGACGCCGCCACCGAAAGCCACGCGATTTCGTCGAACGCACTCCAGCGCACCGCGCCGAGCACTTCCGCGTTTACGGCCGACGAGCCGCTCGCGACCAAAACATCGTGCGCCGAGCAATTCGACGCGCGCAAAGGCCCTGGACCGCCGCGCGCATATACTACGCGGGCCCCCGCAGCTCGTGGTCGAACGGGAACGCGATCGCGGGCCGCAAGAACCGATGCGATCACCGATCGACGCTTTGGAGCCGAAAAGTTGACCGCGCGCGTCGCGTTCACCGGCTCCACGAGCGCCCAAAAGCTGCCAGAGGACGTCTAAGGTTGTCCGCCGGTGGCGACAACAGCGGCCGCCCCGTAGACTACGAATGCGCGGCGCACGACGCCGTCCAAGGCGGGTTTTGCTCTCTGAGCTCTCAGGAGAGCCCAAGTCTTGTTTGCCCTTAAGGGGCGAAGCTGCAGTGCCGGCCTTGACGCCCCTCTACCACAGCCGGCGCCGCCAAACGCTCGCGCGCAGCGCTTGCAAACGCGCCGCGAACGCGATGTCCGCCATGAACCTGCCGCCCGGCGTGACCGCCGCGGGCGCCGGCGACATCGCGGGCATGTCGGGCTTCAGCGCCGACCCGAACCAGCAGGCGCAGAAGCAGGAGCAGGACGCGCAAAAGGCCCAGATCCTCAAGCAGATCCTCACGCCCGAGGCTCTGGAGCGCCTCGGCCGCGTGAAGATCGTCAAGACGGCCAAGGCCGAGGCGCTGGAGATGAAGCTCATCCAGATGGCCATGAAGGGCGAGATCCAGAAGCAGGTCACCGAGGACGTCCTCATCAACATGCTCGAGACGGCCGGCGCCGA